ACTTCATGATCAAATCAAGTGGGAAATGGTTATTCAAGGCAATCTGTTTGATAATATTGATCTCTTTATCAAAGGCTGTTTGAGAAAGAGGTAATGAAAAAGTTCTGTGGAAAAAACAATTGAAGGATGCCATTTTTTGTGAAAAAGGATGATTGGAATTAAATGGTATGACTGAATCTGTGGCTGTTGGTTTCCTGTAAATTTCAAAATCAAACCTATGAGTATGTGAATTTTTTATAATTAATAAATCCAAAAAGGGCAAAGAATTATCAATTTCTGATTCCATAGTAAATGTGATATTAGGATGCAGTGTGTTAATGTAATTTAGGAAATTGAGAACAACCCTAATGTCGCCTTCAAAAAGTAATAAGCAATCGTCAACATATCTATAATAAAATACTAAGTTTGAATTGTAATTAGGATTATTTAAAAATTGCTTCTCGAAGTTGTTCATAAAAATTTCTGCTAATAATGGAGAAAGATTACTACCCATTGCCAGGCCAGTTGTTTGTCTGTAAAATTTATCATTGAATTGAAAAAAATTTTGATTGAGAACTAAGCTTAATAGGTCACAAATGTTCAAGGTGTGGTGAGTTGGGATGTTGTTATCAAACAGTAAGTTTCTAACTAATGAAATACACTCATCAGGAGGAATACTAGGAAACAAGTTGGTCACATCAAAAGATACTAAAACTGAGTTAATGGGAATAGGAATATTCTTAGCTAATAAAATTAAGAATATTCCTATTCCCATTAACTCAGTTTTAGTATCTTTTGATGTGACCAACTTGTTTCCTAGTATTCCTCCTGATGAGTGTATTTCATTAGTTAGAAACTTACTGTTTGATAACAACATCCCAACTCACCACACCTTGAACATTTGTGACCTATTAAGCTTAGTTCTCAATCAAAATTTTTTTCAATTCAATGATAAATTTTACAGACAAACAACTGGCCTGGCAATGGGTAGTAATCTTTCTCCATTATTAGCAGAAATTTTTATGAACAACTTCGAGAAGCAATTTTTAAATAATCCTAATTACAATTCAAACTTAGTATTTTATTATAGATATGTTGACGATTGCTTATTACTTTTTGAAGGCGACATTAGGGTTGTTCTCAATTTCCTAAATTACATTAACACACTGCATCCTAATATCACATTTACTATGGAATCAGAAATTGATAATTCTTTGCCCTTTTTGGATTTATTAATTATAAAAAATTCACATACTCATAGGTTTGATTTTGAAATTTACAGGAAACCAACAGCCACAGATTCAGTCATACCATTTAATTCCAATCATCCTTTTTCACAAAAAATGGCATCCTTCAATTGTTTTTTCCACAGAACTTTTTCATTACCTCTTTCTCAAACAGCCTTTGATAAAGAGATCAATATTATCAAACAGATTGCCTTGAATAACCATTTCCCACTTGATTTGATCATGAAGTTATATTTCAAATTTTACACTAAACATAGATTAACATTTAATGTCACATCCAGTCAAGTCGCTGACCCTCCCTTATATAAATCATTACACTATTTTGGCCATTATTCCATTCAACTAGCAAAAATGTTCAAATCTCTTAACATTTCTATTTCTTACAAAACTTCTTCTAATTTGAAACATTTATTATTCAACTCCAAAGATAAAATTCCGCTTGTAAAGAAATCTGGTGTTTACAGACTCAATTGCAATGATTGTAATGCATCCTACATTGGTCAGACAGGTAGGAGTTTTGAGATTCGGGCCTCTGAACACAATAGACTTATCCACAAATTTCTGAACTCAGAAAATCACAATACCACATCTTCTTTTGCCAACCATATCATTGATTCAAACCATAGTTTTAATGTTAATTCTAATATGGATATTATACATGTTTGCAACAAAGGTCCACGGCTTAACCTTCTTGAGATTTTAGAAATTCAAAAATGCATCAATAATCCTCAGAGTATTTGTTTAAATGATCAGACCAACTTTGACCGTAATCATATTTTCCGTACATTACAATTTTCATAATAATCACACATATTGGTTTCCCTGCGCTAGAGCCTGTCCTGTATCCTTTATCTTGACAGAATGTTGGTTCTTCTGCTTCTCTTTCTTCATCATAATCATTTATTCTTCTTTCTTGAATTTTGTTTGCTCTTCTTGACCCTTTTCGCGTACATCTCTATCATCAATTATTGTTTTTGTTTACATAGTTTATTGAATTGTATAACTTTTTAGCGTCAATAATGTCAATTTTTGAATTTGAAACTCATCTTTCATATGTTTGACTGTCATTCAAAATGTTTTACGCTGACTTTGAAATTGTCATTTTGTGATGTCAATGTCAAATCATCACTTCCATTTCACCTACGGCGTTGTCTTTCCTGTTGATGGCCTGACCGCTGATGAAGCTCCGTTTTAAATTTTACTAGTTCCAATTTGGACGGATGATTCGATACTGACCTACTAGTTAGTTTTTAATTAGTATACTTTTCTCCATAAGGTATGTTCTTTCGCAGCCACCATATTGTCTAGATTTAACAACTATAATTTTCTAGGTACTTTTTTACATTGTGTCTGAAGATGGCCGTTGAGCCGAAACTATAGTCACTCCTTTTATTAAATTTTGTGGTCGACCGACTTTGAGTTATTGTTTTTCTCCCTTTGATAAAGCTAAAAGTATGTGAATTTGAAGAGTATTGAAATTATGAAACCACTTTCAATTATGATTATTTGATATATTCTTGTTAAATTATCGTTCGAAAGAATTTACTAAGTCTCACAGTCTTTATAACAGAGATATAGGGTGAATTATCGGTTTCGAATAATTATTCATTCGTCCATAAGTATTAGACTACCCATCACAGTAATATTTTCTCAAATTTGGTATCGAGCTTTAGTTGGGACGATGGATTCATTGACCTATCAGGCAGAATGGAAATACAGGTTCAGATTCAGGAAAAGTCTCATAGGTCTCTATAACAGAGATACAGGGTGAATTATCGAATTATAATTATTTGGTATTATCTCCATTCTGCCTGATAGGTTAATGAATCCATCGTCCCAAGTAAGCTACATACCTTACAAACTGTTACAGAAATTAAGGATTTAGGAATAATATTCGATTCAAAAATGCTTTTCGATAATCTACATTGCTAAAAAAGGTTATAAAATGCTAGGTTTCATAATGAGAACTTGTCGTGAATTTAAAAACACACAGACACTCCGTACCCTTTATATGTCATATGTCAATAGTGTTCTGAGTTATGGTTCATTAATATGGAACCCTGGTTACGATATTTATATAAACAAACTTGAACGGATACAGAATATATTCATTGATTACGTCAATAAAAAATGCTTTCCATCCAACCCCAGCAACGGTAACTATGTTCGAAATGAGCTGAACTTATTATCACTAGCGCATAGAAGGAACATTTCAGACGTGAAATTTCTTTATAAAATCATAAATAATTTAGTTGATTCGCCTGCTATCCTCAGTAATATTTACCTTACAGCTCCTACTTATATATTACAAGGAATCATCACATTTTTCGTTATGAACAATCTCAAACAAATTATTTTTTGAACTCTCCAATGCATAGATGCATAATATTATACAACGCTCTGTCGAATTCTATCGATATTGATATTTTCTCTTACTCACTTTCCAAATTTTCTTACATTTTGAAAACATTTCCTGGCTTCACCTACTTGATTTTGATATATTTTAACGTTTTAATATTTACTGAATAAAATTATTTCACCCTTGTTTGTATCAACACACTACAATCACTACATGTTGTACCTATACTCAATCATTTATAATTATTCCAATTATTGATTTTCATCAACTTTGTAATTGATATTCGATTTGTTCAGTTTTAATATATCTGTATGATGAGATATGATATATCTGTGAATACTGCTTTTGGGTTAGTCCCGTTTGTATTCCTATTCGTAAATAAATAAATACCTACCAAATTTGAGAAAATGTTACTGGGTAGTTTATGACTCATGGAGACTGTGAGACTTAGTGAGTTCTTTCGAGCGATTTTTTGACAGAAATATCAAATAATCATAATTGACACTGGTTTCATAATTCCAATACTCTTCAAATTGACATACTTTAAACTTTCTGTTTATGATTGTTATGCTGAGAATTGGTGGCGGGAAAACAAAAAGCATCATACACAATTCAGTTTTTCCTCCTCTTCACAATTCTTTTGATGTACTGTGTTAATTATTGAATACAGTGTGTTATTTTAATATTTCAAATAAATGTGAATTTTTCCTGAAGCCGAACCTGGATTTTCATTCCGCCCATAGGTGAATGAATTTAACGTCCCAAGTATAAGCTCCTTACCAAATTTACTGGGTAGGTCAATACATATAGACGAATGAATAATTATTCGAAATCGATAAATCGCCCTGTATCTCCGTTATGAAGATTCTAAGACCTATCAAATATGGTATTTTCAGAACCACCTTGGTGACCCCTATCTACCATTGAAATATTTCCCTTTAGATATGAAACACCCTATATAAGGCATATCAATTCGAATATTAGGTATGAGGAATTATGATTGCTAATAATTAAATTCGATTTTGACACAATATTGACTACGTTTCCCAATTCGTTGTTGTTTGGACTCGAATTGAATGGGTTTATTCTTATTTGGACTGTGTTAATCCACTTGAATATTTTGATTATTAAATTGAAACTGTTTTATACTGAATTTGAGAATTATAATTCCCAATTTGAATTTGTGTTTATTCTCATTTTGAATTCGTTTGCTAATTTGGATGCGATTAATTCCAATTTGTAATTCATGAGTCTCAATTTGAACTTGAAAAAGTATAGACTGACAATAAAATCTTCTATTTTTATTATTATTAAAAACTTTTAATTCACAACAAATGAGTATAAAGTAAACCGAAAATCGTCATAACTGACGAGTTGATAACAGTCGCACATCAAAGAAGATAATCTTGAAATTTGAACGACTCATTGAAATTTCTAATTCCAACGTGCCACAAGGAGAAATTAGATTAAAAAAGTTATATATCTCAATAACAGTCATCGTCGTCATCATCTTCATTATCAATATCTCCTAGGTCTTCACTGGTAATTAATTCCATAATGGCACTAAAATACAACAACAAAATGTTAATATATATGTCTTGTGAAGATACCATACCTTGAATAATATATTAGTGTAAAATCCGAAGTGAGGTCGACCTTCACCCATCTCTTTAATGAATGAGGATTATTTTATAAGTAATTTAGTATGTTGAAAATTATTAAAAAAATGGGTTGGCTGAAAAATCATCGCCAGGGTATGATTATTTAAAAATTCGAAAATCACCGATGTGTTTGATGTAAAAAAATTACACCAAGCATGAGTGCGAAGCCTATAGAATATGCAAGTAGGGTTGTCTATATTTTTCCTGGTCTGACTATACGGTTACCAGGTATAAAGAGGTAATTTGGATCTTCACCTACTTGTTTACTCCATAAATTAAACATAAAAACATGAAAATAAGCGCTGTTTTATTGCGAACACAATGATATTGGGTTGCCTGCAAATAGTCTGTACTGAATGACGGTTGTCGAATTTTTTTGAAAATAAAATTTTAGTGCGACTGTGAACGTGTGACAAATATGTCCGAGACAAATATCCCGTGCGATAGACGAAGACAGAGTTGACAGGATGTCAGAGAGTAGTAGTTCATGCAATAAAAAAATTATCGATAGACTACAATATTTTGAAGCAAATGGTATTATACGTACGAAAGTAATATAAAATATATGATAATATGAAAGTTGATATAGGTTACATAAATATACCTAATAATATCAAAATATAAATATACACAGGGTGAGTAAGTTTTTTCAAAGCAGGACTTTATAAGCTTGAAGAAGAAATTTGTTCAATATAAAAACCTAATATGTAAACATAAGCGTGGAAGCTTCGTTACCGATATACAGGGTTTCGAAATTTGAGATTTTTCTTGTGTTTTTCAATTTGTCTATAACTTTTTCGAAATAATGAATTGAAATTTGGTACACCTCGTAATATTTGGAGTTATCGAACGTTCTTGAACATCTAGAGGATGATACACTTTTGGGGTCGTGCAAACCTTGAAACCCTGTATATCGAAAACAAAGCTCCCACGCATATAATTTATAGAACATTTTTATCTTCAAAAAATGTCTCCTCAGAGCTGTTAAAAACCTGCTACTAATTCGAAAAAAACATTGCTAAATAGTCGTTTTTGAAATTTTGTCCCATCATAAAAAAAAATCCTTGAAAATGTGAATATTTCAGATTTGTCCACATTTTCGAATAGAGCTCGTTAAGTACTATGTTATCGAATTTTTATTTCTAAAAATCGGTCGACGGGTTCCAAATTATGAGGGTGTTGCAGGTTGAGATCGCATACACTGTATATGGAAAGAATAATAAAAAACTTTATATTTCAATAAAACCAATAAATTTTAATTTTTGAATAGATTGAAGCACTTTGGTATATATTTCAGTTTGAGGTTGACTATTTGCGTTTTCATAATGGTTTCTGTGGGGGTGCGGAGTGAAGTTTTCGAATCATTATACCAGGTGTTTCACGGTATATCGAACATTAGAAGTATCTGGAGAATCGAACCACATATATCATTTGTGCGTGTGTGGATAATCAAACATGTTCTATTCGTCTGAAATATTTTCATCGATACAGCGTGCAACTTATGTCAGAAATGGAACAACTAATGTTCAAAAGGAAGAGGGGAAGCTCAAAGTCATCTCCACAACTTTGATAATGGTGTAGTCATCAAAGGGACATGTTTCGGACTTATAAAAGTCCATCTTCAGCCGTACTTTAGAAATTACTACAAGCAAAGGCATGTGAAAATTTACATATTGTTATAAAAACCAAAAACTACATGGAGGTGAACATTATATGTTTTTAGAAATGGATGCCGATGTCTGTCATCATAATATCGTGATTGTTAATAATTATATATTGTTTGAGAATAAACGGGTTTTCATTAAAAATGGTGAGCCCCGTGCCCTAAGAACGCGCACTTATGAAAATCAAGTCAAGTCCCAGAAGGGAAACTTGACGAGCACTCAAGGTGCTCGTAAAAGCCATTTTTGGGCGAAAAAAGCCTGTAATTAGTAAGGTTGCGGTTCCTCTATTATCTGATAGATGCCAGCACGCTCGGACGTCAAAGACGACTCGATGTTGCCAAGCTGATTATATCGTGGTAACTTTCGTACTTTTTGAATTCTAGCCTTTCGGGGAAAATACATTTGAACGATTTATCGTGTGCTGTTGAATATCCTATGAATTTATCAATTTATTTCAAACTGAGTACATTTTTCTCATTACAGTTTCAACATTATTTGGTGATATGATTATGGACAATATATTCCTAGTCAAATTGCCAAGTAAATCTGTCAACTATGTGAAACAATTTCATGACTTCTCAATTTCTGTGTTCTATGAGTTTCGTGTTTCTTTTCCGTTGTGCTGAGCAGTGGTGTAGCGGTAGATTTATTGTATAATATGTTGTTGTGAAGGATATTTCATTTGGATTGTTCTTTTGCTATTGTGTTTGGTGTTTACAGCGTGTGTTTTTGAATTCTTGCCAATTGCTGTGCTGATTTTTTGAGACTATTCAATGGATCGACCAAGTTACGTGTGTGGTGTGGAAGGTTGTTATTCCAACAACCTGTTCATTAGAGTACATTTGTTTAGGTTTCCTAAAGATCTTATTAGGTAAGTGAAGAGTAAAAAAAATAAAACTTTCAATAAATAATGAAAGCTGCTTCTATAGATAGTTGTCGAGTTTTTTGAAGAGGTTTTAACTTCAATTGCATTAGTGTTTAGAGGCAATAAAAGTTCACCATTATGGCTGATTTATATTCTCTAAATCCCCAAGAACATTCTTCGAAGAGTTTTTCCCAATACTCTGAAATGATTTTAAATGCAACTCTGATATCATAATAGGTGTATAATTTTTCTTTACATTCTTTAAGGTGCCGAGAATGGGCCTACAGATGTGGAATCCTTCACAAGTATGAAGGTCAACTCCACATGCTCTATAATTCTTACTATAGAGTATGTTCATTACATTTTGAATCAGAAATGATAGTTGAACTCAGAAAGCATCTGAAAAAGCATTATTTATCGAAATTCGCTAATAAAAATAAATTTCAAAACTATCAACGAAAGTGGGGAAAAATTACATAAAACAATAGTTATTTGGAGACATGAATGAATTGATACTTGAAGAATATTTTTCTCATACATACTTTGATATCCATTTGGGGAAGTACAAGGATACTTGTATTGATTTTGTTTTATTTATTTTGACACATTAACATGACTCGTTGATTAGTTGTTTATTTTTGTTATATGTATATTATATGTATATGTTTATATATCCTTATTATAAACGAAGATGTTTCTTGGGGTAACAATGGACAAAACAACAACAATTATATATGAATAAAATTCATGAATGTTACAATAGATATTTTCCTTCATCAGACCCCAAAAGTGCAAAGTAATAGTTTCTACTATGATTCCACCCAAAATGAATAATTTGTTAGATCTTCAACAATTACTTGTGGAAACTCGACACAAAAAAATGTGATTGTCCCGTTTATTTATGAATTTTGAATCTGAATGATTACTACCTATGTATAAAAAAGGAAAACACTGATTGTCATCAAAAAATACAAATTTTTCTACTTTGTAACATTCTTGATGATTACTTATATACGTAATATTTTTGAGAATGTGCCATGAACATCTAAATACTGGTTTAGTTTTGTTTCAAATCTGATTTTCTGAATGACTCAAATAATATTATTTCGAAATGTATCCTGAATTCCTGTAAGAATATAAATTTAATCAAGTAAGCTCGAATTCGAAATATGTGGTACGCCCGTGGATACAATCAAGAAAGCACATGATCTAGTACAGTTGATGTACATTTTTACGTAGCGACATCTACAGAATAATAGCGGAAGCGCAACCTTAGAATGTATGTTAGGTGGTTGAAGGTCATTGGCGGCCGTTTTCAGAGATCAAAGGATTTTCAGACTTTGCACCTACTTGTCTAATGTATGTACGCTGGAAAAAACTAAAGGGTCCCGTACCCTTAAGCGCACAAAAATTCAAAAATCGATTTAGAATTGATGGGACCAAAAGCCAAAAACATGTTAAATCCAATTGGAGGTTAGAAACACGAAATTAAATTAGTAAACATTGACATAAGTCAAAGTCTTAATGACACAATATCATGACAAGTGGCATAGGACACAGAATTAAAGTAAATTAAACACTGAGATGAATGTGAATTTAACTACTGGTAGTACAGTTGGAAATAATTCAAACAGAAATGACAATGAGGAGATATTGGGGAGGGGGAGAAAAATTCCAACGATGATGGTTAAGTGGCAAATCTGAAATATAAGCAAATGAATAATGAAAAAGAGGAGACCAAAGCAGGTGTAAAACAACATAAAACTAAATCTGGTTTTTAGTAAACTAGAAAATTGAAAAATGTTATACAGTCATAGTTTACCTGTTCATTAAGGGATGTAACAGAATTATTGTTCATAGCAGAATTTATTTCAAAAGTTTCTAACGCATTCAATAGGGTACATTTTTGACTAATATTATTATTTTGATTATGTTTCACTTGGAATGAATTTGTCACATGTATGGAGAAAACAATTGACAAATTTAAAAAAAGTTTATAGTAGCCACTGATCCAGTTTTTCAGTAACTGCGCCAACGAATTTCCAGCAAATTTTTCGTGATATTCATTATTTTTGGATAATTTTCTGAGATTCTGTTGAAATTTTCCATTTCAGAGATAACTTGAGAAGTATTATTCTTTAAGCAACGTTAAACATCAATCAAGCCAATACTATTCTAATTACTTCAGAAACGTATCATTCATTCAAAATTCAAAAATGCAAACGCAAGGTATAGTTGTTTGAACAATCTACTTATACACTAGATCATGCTTCTTTCCCATTCAACTTTGCTTTGCAGCATATATCGGAGTTCCATTGGTGAATCGGTTTTCTGCTAGCTTAGTGCAAAATATGGGGTTTGCCAAGCCTAAACAATATGTCAATTGACAATCGATTTATTAATATCATCTATAATCTCTTATTCTCGAGATTTGAGGTTTCTCATCACTTGCTAGTGAGACATTTAACATCTCCGATAAATATCCAGGTGTTGCAATAGTCTGCAGAGTTGTGACATTTTGTCTCTCTGTAGTTAAACCGTAGGGGTTCGCGTTTGATTCATTGATGAGATATGGTTGTTTGAAAATTATAATTTGCACGTTTGCCATTAGATTCTTCTTACCCATATGGACCCTTTATCTGCATGAAAATTATGTCCAAAGTTAGATCTCCTACTTTTGGAAGCATTTGGGTTGAAACTATGTCAATAATTGTTCGAATATTGTTCTTATCCATCATTCGGTTGCCCCCTTACGAGCAACCCTCAGAAGTCTTCAAGAGACTTGTGCGAGCAAGGAATGACGGGGGTCTTACCTTTTAACGTGTGATCCCAAACACTTTCTTAGGCCATCAGAAAAATTTCTGCGGTCGTGGTGGGACTCGAACCCACTACCGGTAATCCAACGTGGACAGAACATTGACGCTCTAACCACGAGGCTACGCTGGCCTGTATTCCGACATACAACCAGTGATGTTTGTCATCTCCAACTTCATTCAGAAAAATGGAATGGGAAAGCTGGTTACTGAGGAGGGTTTGATAACCGAAATGAGTTCATTCGAATAAAGTCATATAATCTGTTTGTGAGAGATATATCCCCATCACTAATATAAATGATTTTTGGAAGCTTGAAGTTCATCAAGATGAAATTCCGTAGAAGTATAACTATACATTTTAATTTTCACTCCACTTTGAGCAAAATGGACTTCTACCAAAGATTTTAATTTTCATTTAAATTCTGATTAGATTTATAAGTTATATTTTAATATCATTTTACATTATATTATTAATCCGATTTGGATTCTTGATTTCAGAAGATTTTTATTTTCATATCCTTATCTTGGGTGTTCAACAAATGCAGATCAATGTTCGACGAGACAAATAGACAGGAAATCAGTTTTTTTTTGTGTTGAATATTCCGAATGATATTATAGACATATATATTTGTATCTGAAAGAGAATGCAAATTCTCATCTTCAGATATCATTTTCAAATTCTTTTTGTGTGCATTCAACAGATGTCATTCTATGTTCGTCGTGGCATATCCAGGAAAGTAGTTGTTATTTGTTGAATATAAAAAATAGTTCATATGTTCATCAGATAGAGAATGCGAATTCTCATTGTATTTTTTTTTATGTTCATAATATATCTGAGAATATTCCTTTTCAAAATATCAATTGTTTTTTTTGTGTTATTTCGTTCATCAAGATGTGTAACCAATATATGTACATCATTTTGCATTATGGAGTCCCTACGATGCTGAATCATAATACCGTAACGTTGTCTTGATGGAAAAATATAAACTATATTTTAATTGATGTTCATACTGCATACTTAATCCTTCCTTTATGATCACAATGAACATGATATAGCAAAAAACTATATCACATTACCATCAAAAAACACATTCATTTGATATATTTTGTTCAAGAAAGAATTGTTGTCAACTGTTCAAAATGAATTGAAGATATTTTTGAACGCATACGATAAACGACATTAATAGATATAAGTAGGTACCACTTTTTTTTAATGCCTTTATAGCGAAACCACAATATCTTTAACTATTTTCGATCTGCTTTAATTTTTTCCTTTTTTTTTCCTTTGGAACATTCGAAAATGTTTTCCAATATCACACAGACCGGCAAATGAATCTCCTTATACACTCGACTTATTTATTACACGTTTGATCCGTGTTTCAAAGATCCAGAAGTGTAATAGTAGCAGCGTTGAATCTTCAAAATAACTTCTTCGACACCAACGTCATCCGAATTAAGCGTTTCTTAAATACGACATCAAGAACGTTATTATCAGAGTCACAACATATTTGCGTTTTTTTTCATAAACAGATGAACAGATAACGCCAAAATTCTTGGACCAACAATAAAAATTTCAAAGTATTTCACATATCCAGTTTTTGGTGTATTCATCGTTTGGCGATGTACAAAAAAGTCACAACAGAGAAGTCTTATTTGATGAACAAATTATTAAATAGTGTCAGTATTTGACTAGAACAACTAGTCTAGTCAATTAGCGGGGGTAGTATCAAAACGAATTACTTGTCGATGTTGTATTTTTATAAACGGTCATCTTTTTACAAGCCGTTCTGAGTGAATAAAAATGTGTTTGAGTGTTGAAAATGGTCGCTATCTACGATGCCTCCATTTAGAATCTTATATAATCATTTACCTAAGGTTCTGAGAGATGTACCTGATGTAAAAACATTGAAAATTGAAACTAAAAGATTACTACTTCAGCACTAGTTATACTCATTGGACGAATATTTCCATACCAATTTTTAAAATAATACATGTACTAATTACTGTTATGTATATACTAAGTGTGTGTCATGCTGTTCACATATGTAAATATTAAGTGTGCTCTTCGTTCTGTCTAGATTAGTTTTGTTGACTTATCCACATGTCATGTATTTTGACCTTATTGGAATGAATAAATAAATAAATAAATAGATAAATAGATAAATAGATAAATAGATAAATAGATAAATAGATAAATAGATAAATAGATAAATAGATAAATAGATAAATAGATAAATAGATAAATAGATAAATAGATAAATAGATAAATAGATAAATAGATAAATAGATAAATAGATAAATAGATAAATAGATAAATAGATAAATAGATAAATAGATAAATAGATAAATAGATAAATAGATAAATAGATAAATAGATAAATAGATAAATAGATAAATAGATAAATAGATAAATAGATAAATAAATAAATAAATAAATAAATAAATAAATAAATAAATAAATAAATAAATAAATGAATAAATAAATAAATGAATAAATGAATAGATGAATAAATAAATAAATAAATTGATTGTTAATAACAGATTTGAGATCTAGAAGACATAAATGATTGTTTACTATAGCGCGAGAGCAGTGACTGCCTGCTGCCTCAGTGACGCAAAGTTAAAAATTAAACAAAAACATCGTTCTACCCTCCGATACTTTGACCACGGAGTTTTCATAAACAAGATAGTGCGGTATATCTCAACTACAATGATTGAAATGTCTCTTACTAACTAGAGATAAATATTCTGAATTTTTTCATAATGTAATATATATATTTTTTGGGGGGGGGGGGGGGAACTATTCAACTTAGCTATGATGCTCTATGAACCTCACGAAGTGGCGTTTCTGAGTGGAGCAATAATATACAGCATGTTATTTTTGAAATAAGCGATATTTTTCGAATGTTCGTTTGTAATGTTTGGTAATATGTGTTTCTCTTCCTGTATAGGAAAGGTCAACTTCTTATATATTACTTGAAAGTCACTAACAACCAAACTAAATCAATCACTAATTTCACTGGTGATTATCATAGCCTATTGAGAATGGAAGATATTGATATTATAAGTGCCAAAAAATAATCGCCAAGCTGAATAACATTATCACCAACCCTTCTATCAAATAACAATAATGGATTTTATGTTGTTAGCAGAGTATCCTTCATTCTACATATGGAAACATGATCCATCGCTAAGCTGAATACCACTTTAAATAATCCTTTTATAAAAACGTCAATGGTTTTTGTGTTGTTAGCAGGGTATCCTTTATATAACATTCGGACATTTTATCTACATATCCTTTCCTAACTGAGATATGAATGACTTCGCTATTGTTGTCGGACCCTGTGTAATGTATATGTATACTCACGTCAAAACGTTCATTTCATTGCTGGGCTCATTCCAATTTACGAATCCAGGATGAGTTATCTTATGCTCTAGAAACCAGTTCATCCTATCTCTGAGTTCTTTTATAACTCTATAAGTACCCTCTGTTGTTTTGAATGTTAAAAATTTGCTAATACTGATACAGTGTCCATCTGGTGTGAGTTTGTGACTGAATTGATCACCAAAGAATATTATTGGCAGAGGATGGACCATGGTGGCATCGTGAATGAAATCCGAGGATGATTTCAATTTTTTGTAATAGACGATCAGGGGGGATTCGAAAACACAAGTATTATAGCCCGATAAGACGGAACCGGGGTGAAACTTGTACCTCTGTTCGCCATCAATGGATCGGATTGTTCGAGCTCTGCCTCTTTGGTCGAGCCTGAAAGAAATTAGTTGAATGTTAATGAGTATTTTATGACAGGACGTGATGGATGTAATTTTGGACAGCCTGTCAACATTTGATAGATATTGTAGATGTGGCTTCTTGTCATTGGATCTATACAAAGCCTTTGACACTGACAAAAATAACATTTTAGTTAATAAATAGATATCAGAGGAAGATCAATGATTTGTTCAATTATTTTACAAAATGAAAATAGCATCAAATAGTTAAATTATGAATTATAGAATAGTTTTAGAATATTATCACAATGTGATACAAATATTCTAGAGACGTTCTATGCATTAGGAATGGACGGTTTCAAATATTCTAAGAATAGTTCTGGTATATTATAGGAGAATGTAGGAAATTTGAAAAAGCTTGATCTGATGGGGATGCGAATCTATTCGCTAGTGATTAGATGTTTTTAAACCCGACACATTTTTCACTGCGCTACGAACCTTTTTGATGAATAATATTTATAGCAAGATGTCAACACTTCATTAGTAGGATAATTGAATTGGTGTTAGAAATCCTACTACAGGATACACATACAGCTCCTCATGACAAGTTGAGACAGGGGAACATTATGTATACCTATTGATGCAAGAATAAAATCAATATCATATTTAAATAAGATTCTGTAGTTTCTCAAAATATATTGGAAAAATTGAAATGGTACTTCTGCACTTCTGAGTCGGATCTTTTACTGCATATCCGAAGTTTTTATTTTCACATGGACAATGAAATAATTATATTTTCTGAACAAAATTTTATTTCATTTATAGAATTGTTTCCTGTTTTTGCTGATTTCAGATAAAGAAAATACAAATTTTCGAAATCTCGACAAAACAAAGAATCTTACTGAATAGTCACATTCCACTGCTTCCCACGAATATTCCCAAGAATATATTATCTATCTATATAGGATGAGTCTTGACTAACCAGCCATAGCCTAATGGCGGATTGAGGGTGTCAAAGTGTGTTGATATACAGGGTGTTTCAAAAAAACCTGACCCCCTTACTAGGGTAGGTAGAACACTGCAAAATGAGTTGGGTTTATTCAGTAAAAAAAATTCGTAACGGCATCCGTTATCAAGATACAAGGTGTTGAAAAAATGATTTTTTTACACATTTCTCAAGATTATATCGAAACTACTGGCAACATTGTGATGAGATTTTGTATGGATGTTTCTTTGAATCTGACACATCGCATGCATTTGTTTGTATACCTGACACTCATAGAGGGCGCTAGTTACACGGTTCGTACCGAGTAGTTTTGAACATAACTCTTTTGAGGTTAGGTTTTCAATCCGAATTTGATGTGAACTTGAACATCATTCAATTCCACACCAAAAAGGTACTCTTGGTAAAACTCGATACTGTGTTCCGTTTTCAGAATATTTCGATTTTAAAATGATGAAGTGATAACTGTTGCTGGTATAAAGCGATGTATCAGAGTGAGTATTATGAAAAATTATCACCTATTTATTGAAAATATCAAATATCTCTTAATTTTCTACTTATGATCCTTTGTTCCATCAATAACTTCAGCACAAGAATAATTTTATCGTTTTTGAACCTGAATAAATAGGAAATTGAACTCAATAAAATTCATTTTATACCAGCATCATTATTACTCCATTATTTTCAAATCGAAATATTCCGAAAACGGAACATAGTATCGAGTTTCACCAAGAGTACCTTTTTGGTGTAAAATTGAATGATGTTCAAGTTCATATCATATTTGGATCGAAAAGTGTAACCTCAAAAAAGTTATGTTCAAAACTACTCGGTTCGAACCGTGTAACTAGCGCCCTCTATGAGAGTCTGATATAAAAACAAATTCATGCAATGTGTCAGATTTCAAGAAACATCCATACAAAATTTCATTATAATGTTGCCAGTAGGAATAATCGTGAAAAATGTGTAAAAAAATAATTTTTTCAACACCTTGTATCATGAAAACGGATGCCGTTACGACATTTTTCACTGAGCAAACCCAACTTATTTTGCAATAATCTACCTACCCTAGCAAGAGGGTTAGGTTTTCTTGAAACACCCTGTATATGTGAAAGAATATATTCTGCCTATGCGTGACAGAAATACAACGCATTATTTGAATTCGGGGCGAAACTTTGATGAATGATATTTCAAGAACGTCTCGATGTCTTCGCCTGAAATTAACCAGCAATTTACTCCTACTTACACAGCACACGATGACCTTCATGGAAGAAAATTTCCATAGCCGGACTTGGAAAACTTGTTTTTAATGTCAAAATTCCTACTTCAGAATCGTTTTCCAAAAATTTTCCTCAGAATCAGAAAGATCAGGGAAAACACTACAAGTGTATCTTTTCAATTTGTATGGCACACTACGACCGGATTGGTCGAAAAATATCAAACCACATTCAGATGAATATTTCTTCGCTTTCGTCTGGCGTCTGCGCCAATACTCGACTCAACATTCGACTAAAAGTATTCGAATTCGTGTTTTGCTTATTTATAGCAGAGTTGAGAAGAGGCATTGAGAAATAGTAAGTACCGGATTTGGTTTCTGGAAAGAATTGCAAAACATTATAGTTTTCGAAAATGATTTGTCTGTATCCTAATATTGTTCAACGAACATTCTCAAAATGTCCTCCTCCAATTTTAATACATTTTCTGCATATCTTCGGGAGATCTCTTATGGTTTTTCGAATAATTTGCCTATTATTTGTGATCATATCTAAAGCTGTAACAATCCTCTCTGTTGTTGGCTTCAGTCTGATATACCAATCGTTTCATAATATGAGACATATTATGTCTCCATAGATAATAGTCTAATACTGTGAGATGAGGGACCTAGGAGATCAAGAGTAAGGACCGCTGCGACCTATCCAGCGATTAGATAATTGTTTGTCTAGGTATTCTCTCACTTGTATTGAGTAATGTGGAGGTGCCCCATCCTGTTGGGAAAAAATACATATTTCAATCAATTTTCATACATCCATCACAGCCTCCTTTTGCAGTCTTTTCTGAATAATGAAAATACCAAACTCACAATGTGATTCATATTCAATCATATTCAATATGACCCCAAAATTTTGTCTATGTAGTATGAGTTGGCCCTAATATCTGATTCGGAAAAAATATTTTACCTAAGCAATACTTCCTTCTATTTATTTATCTCTTGAAGCGCACGAAAGAAAATTCCTATAATGTTCGAAGAACATCGTGCGTACCTAGAAAGTGAGAATTGAATAGGATTTTTTTTTGGAAAATTAGGTACATGTAAGTCCGATCCTGGAATTTTTCATCGAATAGAGCCTCTTTCCAACTCCTATAATACACCGATATGCAAGAAATAGATTTAGATGAATTTGTTGGAAGATGTGACTACAACGGCCAGTACGAAATCATGGAATCAATTATCAGTATTTTGTTTGATATTTTTTACCAATCCGATCGACAAAGTGTGGCGAACAAATTGAAAAGCTACACTTGTAGTGTTTTTCCTGATCTCCCTGATTCCGATGAGTCTTTGAGAAATACGAAATTTCGACATTTGAAAAAAAAAATGAGTTTTCAAAGTTCGGCTCTGGATTTTTTTTCCATAGTAGGCCATCGTGTGGTGTGTCAGTAGAGGTAAGTTCCTGGTGAAATTCAGGCAATAACATCGAGACGTTCCTGAAATATCGTTCATCAAAGTTTCGCCTCGAATTCGAATAATGCACTGTATTTCTGTAACGAATAAACAATAGCTATTTATGTGTCAAAGACGGAAAGGTATCCATTTCCTCCCACGTGTGAAGTTTGATGCACGACGCGAAGCGGAGGGCATTAAACACACATGGCTAGTTAGGATTCAGTGAGAAGATAAAATATATTTTTTCACATATATATCAACTCACCTTGACCTGACCTAACCTGTATCAATCAATAGACTGTGAAGGATTCCTGGAAATGCAGCTATTGGGATTCAAAGAAAACTTTCATTATTTTTGAGAAAGCTTTCTGAATTGAAATTTACAATTATATTTAATTAAAATGGTGATTTGAGTGCAATTACTTATAGTAGATGAAATTATAGAAAATATAACAAATCAGAACTGTATGAATAGAATAGAATAAAATAATAGAATAGAATAGTTATCAAAATTAGAAAGAATAGTGTCAGGTACAATTGATTGAATCAATATAGGAACTTTAAAGTTTTTCATGGATTAAAATATTAAAATTGAAATAAAATAATTAAGTTGTATAAAAAACATATTTGTCTCATTTCCATTGCAGGACCCTCATAAGAATATCTATTTTCTGTTGATGACAGTCTGTGGATTGGGATATTGTAGTCGGTGTTATGGTTTCGTGTGTTTAAACTATGTTGTATCTCATGAAATTCAAATTAATTCCGATTTTTAAATAGAAACATTAAGCTTTCATAAATATAGGTCCCTGACATGGTCATTATATTCAATTTCTCGAATTTACCGCTACATGATTCTTTGTAGATGAGTCGTAGCAAAATCCTGATGGCTTTTTTTTTGCTAGCTTAAAAATACTCTCTGCCAGGCTACTTCCTCCCCAGAAGATGAAACCAAAACGCATCACTTAGTTAGGAAGTTGGCAAAATAAATGGTTCGCTTTGCTCCATCATCCAAATATGTCGATGTTACCCTAAATGCATAGCATATACGTGACAGTTTGGTTCTGGTTTCCCTTTTGCAAAATCTAAATTTTGGTCAATGCATACGCCAAGAAATTTTGTGTGTTTTGCTAGTGTTATTGCCTGTGTTTGTACTTGAAGTGTTTCAGGTATGGTGTTGTTTTTTATTTTAGTTCGAAAGCAAATATAATTCGTTCCATTTTTGTTTAGTATGAGTTTGTTCATGGTAGACCATCCCTGTGCCTTTTCCACCGTTTCATTAGAGAAGTCTAAAAGATTTTTCAATGACCTACTGTTAGAATGTTTGTGTCATCCGCAAAATTTACAAGATTGATATCTTCATTATTCACAA